GCATTTTGCAGATGAGTAAGTATGTGTGTTAATGCGCTCTTGTGTGAACATCCACTTCACGGCTTTTTAAGTGTACGCGTGTGTGTTTTGTGTGTGCACATCAGGTCTACTGGGGATGATTGTTGTGATGTAATTAGTCCTGCTCTAATGAATACACTGATCTGTCTGACAACATCTCTCAGCTGGGGAGGAGAGGAGGGGAGAGGAGGGGAGAAAACGCCATCATGGGTGTGGCTATAGTACGACTGCAAGCTGGTGCAGAACCTGACCTTTGCATACAGTATACGTTGTGTTTATACAGCCATATGTCCCGTACACGTGTGCTGTTTGCTTTGCTGATATGCCTCTCTGCACAGTACAACTAGTCAATCAGGAGGAAAACCAGACATTTTGATTAATTAGTCAACCGGGCCACTCGACTAAGACACATTATTATGTACAGAAATGGCCTGGAGGAGGTGGGATGAGAAGGTCACACGTTGTTGCCCCGCTTGCATGTGCATAATAATGAGACTATTGCGAGTAAAAGAAGTGCGGTTGATCCCATATCACCAGTAATCCTCTGTATGGGGTTAAATGTTGATTAGATTGTGGGAATAGTTAATTTAATTGATTGAAAATAAGGTAGAGATAAAAAGTGTCTCATACTCCTATGCTAAACAGTGTTGTTTTTAAAATGCAAACTTATGCAGTTTGGTTTTGAAAAAGCTGCCCAAAAGTGAGTGTAGCTGCACCAATGTGCATGTAAACATAGCCTTTCGCACACACACACACACACACACACACACTTGTGGGAATAGTTAATTTAATTGATTGAAAATAAGGTAGAGATAAAAAGTGTCTCATACTCCTATGCTAAACAGTGTTGTTTTTAAAATGCAAACTTATGCAGTTTGGTTTTGAAAAAGCTGCCCAAAAGTGAGTGTAGCTGCACCAATGTGCATGTAAACATAGCCTTTCGCACACACACACACACACACACACACACACACACACNCACACACACACACACACACACACACACACACACACACACACACACACACACACACACACACCTTTTAATCTGCATCAGAAGTTTGGTTTTTACTGTAGGCTTGAAGTCCATTAGCAGTTTAAAAAAATCTGAATGCTTTTGAATCATTTATCTCATCAATTCCACTTTAGCTTTCACCAGCTTCACATTAAGTTTTAGGCTAAAACTCAAAGACTCCAGCAGGAATTTTAAACCTGTGGAAAGTCAGTTAGACCCAGCTGGATGTTACAGATCACAGGATTTGAACCAGCAACCCTCTGGTTAAATGCAACCACCACCCCCTCTTGGATCTAACTTCCAGTATGTCCTTCAGCTATATCAGCGGTTGCTATGTCATTAGCCGCTTTTGTCAAACAAAAACACTCTGATTAGCTTCTTGACTGACAGTTCCCCTTGGTGTTTCTGGGGCAACCAGGGATAAGCCTGATTGGTGGAGCAGGAGTGTTACACCTCGCCGTTATCTCCGACGTGTCAGGTGGTTCAGTCAAGAGACCTTTACACCTTCTTGTTTGTGTGTTTTTCTTCTTTCTTCTTCCTCCTCAAGGCATCGCCAGTTCTTTAATTATCTTTTTATATGTCGACTCTCCGGAGTCCCTGTTTGTTGTAATTCCCGCGTCTCACCTCTTTGTGTTGTGTTGTTTGTTTCTCTTCCAGTTGTTCGTCGCTGTCACAGCTCTGTTTCCTATTCCTATCTCCTCTCACTAATGAGCCATGCTATCAGGCTATCTATCTTTCCCCCCCCACCACCATCAATCCTTCCCATCCACTTCCTCTTTCTTTCTCCCCTCTCTCTTTCTCTCTAACAGTGTGACAGTATGAAATTTGCTGTCCCTCAGGGTTTAAAAGCGCATTTATTCTAAGAAAGAAACATGCACTGTGAGAGCACAAGAAGCTGTATGTGCCATTACAAGGCGGGATATCTCATGGACGCACATGTACGCAGACGCACGCGCACACACATGCAGCTGAGCAATGAGATTGTGATGGAGCGATGAATTAGATTTATCACTGGTTTGGTGGTGCCGCTGACTTGTATTACTCCCTCTGTTCAGACAGCCAAGGCCATTACTGCAAAGATGGAGGGGCGAGAGAAAGCGAGACAGAAACGCAAGAGATAGAGTGGAAAGTGAAAAATAAACCAGAAAGATGGATGAGTGACACTGAGAGAGAGAGAGAGAGGCGGTGAGAGTAGAGATGCACTTTACACAGAAATAATGCAGCCGAAAGTGAGACAGATAAACGGATGTAAAGAAGACAGATTACAAAGAGATCTAAGATCGGAAGAGGGTTGTAAAACAGGTACTGTATGGGAAACCTACATCTAAATGCCAGTAAGGCCAGTTATACAAGATCTTCACTTTCCCTCCAGTGTAGATATCTCTATTTATTCATCCTCTTTCCTTCTCTGCTGACTTTCCCTTTCTTTTAGCTCCACTCGTATATTGCTAAAAGGTATTAGCCTTCAGTGAGCAACTGTACTAGTTAGCAACTAGATAGAAAAAGGCGCTGTGTGTCGTTTGAAAATCTTCAATATCTGTGCTAAAACAATCCCCCACTTCCTGTACTTACACCAACACAAGAGTTTGATACCTTAATTTTGGGAGTATGTGTTTTTTTTTCATTTAGTCAAACAAAAAATGACACCCAGCAAAACATTGTACGGCTTGTTATGTGCGTGATTGATGAGCTAAATCAAACTAGCTAGTAAATTACTCTGATCAGATTCATGATATTTTTTTCTTTCTTTACGATCCCACACACACACACACACACACACAGTCTCGTCCTGTTGGCAGGTCATGGGTTGTTGGTCGTTGTCATGCAGGTGGTGAGCCTCTCCTGTCTGAGTCTTGAATTCTTCCCTTGGGGCAGATTTCCCGATCGTGCACTGATCTGGAGACCCTGCCAAGTGACTGCTGAGCCAGCTGCTCTCAGTCAACCACGTCTGGCCCGAGAGTTTACACTAGAAAAGCAACATACCTGTGTAATGGAAAGCACCAGAAAATCTTCTGCCCTTTTTATTTTTATTACAGAAGACTCTCGCAATCTGCTGCTGATTTGGAGATAACAAAACCAATATCCTTTCCACCTCTCACTCACCTCTCCCACTTTCCCTCTAGCACTTCTTTGTCATTCTGTGGTGACAAAACTGTCAATAAAAGTCTGACCCTTGTGCTCCTTAAGACTGGGAGCTTTAGATGTTTATATAAAAGGTAATTCGGCCTGTTAAACTGTTAAAACCATGCGTACAACAAACAACAATCAAGGACCAGTCAGCTAAATTACTTGGATGTGAATATGATTGCTCGGAATTTTATTTCCCTGAGGGGCCATGGAAATTACCTCTTAAAGTTATATTTAGAGATAGCATTATAATAGTCAGTGAAACATTAAAAACAGAGTTGCACCTCTTAAAATGAGTAATCTCATGGTAAAATTCTCTTCTGCAGAAAGTCTATTTCGACATCTTTGACACACGTTTGCTTACTCAAAGACACCGTTTACCTTTGCTCACCGGCTTCAGTGGCAGTGCAGGTTGTGGAAGCTGGTTCATTACGGATGACGTGAAGAATCTTACGACTGTGATAAACGGATGAACTGAACCGGTTACTGCACAGGCATTTGCCCAAGAGGTTTATACAAAAGAGCTTCACGATTATTCATCATGAGTAGTATGTAGTAATTTGGGACACATTTTCAGGTGTTACAGAAACATATTGAATATGTTAAATTGTGTGTAAAGGTTATTGTAGTTGCTGCTTTCCTGTTCTTGAGGATATATTCTACGCTGCTACGCAAACATTTCTGTTTGTTTCAGTTTTTATCTCACTGCATGAGTGAAAAGCCCTGATATAGTAGACATTGGTTTCTGCCATGAAAATATGTGGACAACACACACACACACACACACACACATGCTGATGGAGGCGAATGGTTATCTCATGGGATAGTCACCGGCTTGTCATAGAGGCTGATCCAATGAAATGTGCTGGTGCAGGAATGTTGTTGCATTATGTGATAAAGTCGCAGGTATGCAGGGAGCCATCAGTAACGTGATCAGAGTCTTAAGGCTGTTTCCGTGTGTGTTTTTATGTGCGTGTCTGTGTCTGTGTCTGTGTCCGTCACCAGGCCTGGGTATCCTCTCGTTTGAGAAATGAGGATCTCCATGGTGACCTCTACCCCCCCCACCCCACCCCATCTCAAATTGATTACCCATGGTGCTCTCTGTCCTCTTAAGGCATCTACTCATAAATGGAGAGAGTGAAAGAGCGAGTGCACGATAAGCAGAGCCACAGATGAGGATGAAAGGGAAATAACCAACCACAGTGAAATCATTTGGGAGTTTCAGCAAAGCAAAAAGCCCTGGTATCAAATCAAATCATGTGTTCTGGCTGTGTGTGTGAATAATTTCCACCTCCTACCTGCTGCGTCATCTCATCCCAGTACAAGACATTACCTCATTAAGACTCCTCTTCACACAGCGCGCACTGACAGTCAGCCAAACTCCGCTTCCTTATTTCCTTATTTACCAAACGAGTGTGCTATTTGTGGAAGCACTGGGGAAATATTTACAGACGTCCTCTGACTTTCCCACATCTGATGATAAATTAGTAACAGGAATTTCAGAAAATCTCTGTTAAGTGGTTTAAAATGAACAAAAGCACTCGCTTAGTAAATGTTCCTGTGATTGTCTGCTCACTTGACAGATTCAGTCAACACCTCTCTGCTCATCTGAGCAGCTCTCTCTCCGTCTGACAAAAACGAGCCCTCCTAGTGGCACTATCCAAACTGATCTCCTTCTGTTGTGTGTGTGTGTGTGTGTGTGTGTGTGTGTGTGTGTGTGTGTGTGAACTCCACGAAGAATAGCTGTCACTTCAGTTATGCGGAGGATCTGGATGCACTATAACGTCTGTTTTCTCTTCCCATTGTCCTCTTTCTCTCTCTTTCTTCTGACTCACCACAGAAAAGTGTGAAGGAGGGAATCCTGTTAAAGCAGACCAGCTCCTTCCAGAGATGGAAGAGGAGGTACTTCAAACTCAGAGGAAGGACCCTCTACTATGCCAAAGACTGCAAGGTACGGGAATGTGTGAAACTGCACTACAGCGGCATTTGAAAGCAACGCGAGTGCAGTTCAGCGAGCTGTGAAACCAACGTTACAAATTAGAAACTGTCCCGAAAGTAAACACCTACTGTATTTACCAAAGCTACTGATTTACATGAATTAGAATGTTTTCCATTTAATTAAGAGGGAAAATAAAAAGTGAATGTGAAACGATAAGCATCTTTTTTTTTTTTTTTTTTTCCCCTTCCTCGTTAGTCTCTGATTTTTGACGAAGTGGACCTATCAGATGCCAGTGTGGCCGAGACCAGCACCAAGAACATCAACAACAGCTTCACGGTAAATAACGCAACATTTGAAGCATTTCAAAAAATGTACGTCATGTTGTATTTTCAACGGAAAAATTAAAATGTAATATTTTTAACCTTAAAATCCAAAACCACATCTGGTTCAGAAACGGCCTTTTGCCTTTTGCTAGCGGCGTGGGTCTGCGGCGGGCAGTGTTAGATTTTCCACTAGCATGTAGCATTTAGCTCCAAGCCCTTTGAGCTCTTAGTCATGTTTCATAATGATGTGATACGATGTGAGTAAACGAGGTGTCAGGGGCAGGTTTTGGCTGTTGATCAGCTGTTTTGTAGCCCAGATGTTTCCTCACCAGCAATGAGGGAGCGTTTCACTTCCTGGCTCAGATTATCAATCCCTCTTTCTACCTCTTTTTTCCTCAGGTGATCACTCCATTCCGCAAATTAATGCTATGTGCCGAGAGCAGGAAGGAAATGGAGGACTGGATCAGCGCTCTCAAATCCGTCCAAAAATGGGAAACCTATGAGGTGGCTTTCTCATCGCTCCGTCAGTCTCTCCTTATGTTTCCACATCATTATTTATTATCATGGCCGACATCAGTATAGACCAAGAAATGGGTCAAATTGACGATCTATTCTTTACACAAAGTATTCACCTTTTCTTCTCTCTTGAAGGAAAAATACTCTCCTCCCTCTTCCACCTCTCTGTTCCTTCATTCTTCCCCTTTTCTCTTATCTGCTTCACATTTCAGCTCTTTGCAAGGAGATTGATGTCGCTCCTAAAATCAGAGCATCTGCTTTAATAGGCTATAAAGGGAACTGAAGACTGTTCGCTGCTATTGAAGCTTAAGTTTATATTCTCTCATGGTTCAGACTTTCATTGTTCCCGGCAGTTCACAGCAGTGCGTTTAGGGTTTTAATTTATGTCATTGCTTTATCTGATTCATGTGATCTTGAAGGTTTCAGTTGTAGTTCAGGTGATGGATAGCATTTTCTCCGAATTAATCCTTCTTTCAGATCCGGTATTTTGGTATCTCTTGAGTTATGATCACTCTCTGAAAAGGAAGAAAAATGTCAGTCTTGTCCTGCCATCTTTTTAGGAACTGTCTCTAGGTGTGTTTATCCCAAGGCTGGTCGTGTGTAGCATCGATCTCATAGTCTAAACTTCGTGTATTTTCCCTCCTGAGGCCACAGAGTTTAATATGTGCTGCTGATGTCATTATCTTATTCTTGTACCCGTGTTTCCTCTGGCTGTTTAGCACAGCATGAAATATAAAAAGTCACCGTCCCATCCTGCAATATATCTCCTTCCCCTAGGGCAGCTTATTTTGATGTGGCGCTCTCCTGATTCTCCTCCTGTCCTTTTGGTTGTTTCCACCTCCTAACCTCCAGCCAGTTTAACGTGAGAGCTCTGATGTCATCGTCCTCTCCTTCCATGTTTTCTGCCTTCCCCAGGCCAGCCAGTTCAACATGGAGCATTTCTCTGGGATGCACAACTGGTACGCCTGCTCGCACGCCAGACCGACCTTCTGCAACGTCTGCAGAGAGGCTCTGCCAGGCGTCACCTCCCACGGCCTTTCCTGTGAAGGTACATAGACACACACCCCTACACACAGATACACACATTTGAAGAGACGCTCCTTGGGAGATGCAACCAAATAGCTGACCAATTTCTGCAGATATTATGAGCAATAATCTCAAAATGTAACCACTTTCTTACATAAATGACGAGAACCTTTTCTCTCAGATTGACTGACAGTCTTTCATAGTAGAAAAGCATTTAGAGCACGTGAATGTGAAAGTCAAGGAGCAGGTTGCTAGTAGGCTTCTCATTGCAGGGAGTGGCAGGTCTTGACGCACTGACACCTTGTAAACAGTTGAGTAAAATCATTTCCTCACCTCTCACATCAGCAATAAAAAACTCTGAATGCACATGCAGGGTTTTTGGGTCAGTAATGAATCCACATTACTGGCAATTTAAATTTCTAAGCAAAATTTTGATGTTGTTAAAATACATTTGATGCATGCAGAATTAGAACAAACAGAAAATATACAAAGAAATGTATTAGTTATAACGAGGGAAACGTGTAGTTTTAAATACATTAAAAATGCCCTAGATATTTAAGCATCATTTCATCTTTTATTATTAATATTATCTCTATTTATTTAAGCTTGTCCAACATGAAATCTGTCCTCTGCAGTTTGTAAATTCAAGGCTCATAAGCGCTGTGCAGTTCGCTCCACCAACAACTGCAAATGGACCACACTGGCCTCCATAGGAAATGACATCATCGAGGATGAGGAAGGGGTGAGTGACAGAAAACAAGAAAATGAGTATAGAAAGCTGCAGTTTAAATATGAGATATCACTTCAATGATTGAATTATTTTAGTTGAATAGGAAAAGCAGGCAGATTGTGTTGTATTACTTTTTGAATCTTTCGAATTTCAAATCGAATAATTCCTGACAAGCTGTGGTTCAGGACAGTTTGTGCCTCATGTTCTCAGTATTTTTCCATTTCTTTTCCCAGGTGTCCATGCCTCACCAGTGGCTGGAGGGCAACCTGCCGGTCAGTGCCAAATGCGTGGTGTGTGACAAGAACTGTGGCAGCGTGCGCCGGCTGCAGGACTGGCGCTGCCTCTGGTGCAAAGCCATCGTAAGTGGGATTGATTTTAGCCTCCGTCCTGTCAGAAAACTGTCCTGTCGAATCAGTGTTAGTACAGTATTTATTTATTTAGGACATCGCTGCTAGCTGGGACAGGTATTTCCAGTTCAGGTCTGACAATAGAAAGTATTTATTTAAGAGAAAGAGGAGAGGAGAGGAGAGGAGAGTCCGACCTGATGCTCTGACTGCCTGCAGCAGGTCCAGTGCGAGGCCATTAACAATGTTTAGTGTGGCCTTTACAGCTGGTAACAGACCCTGTAATTAAAACCCACATTTTAGGGCAGTACCACAACGTTTGAATCCTTAAAACTCAACACACTTAACGGAGGGAAAAAAAATATTCAGATAAACAAAACTGTGTGTCACATTAAAGTGCATGTTTTTGCTGATTTTCTGTCCCTTTAGTGTTAAAGCTGCTACACTCAGTATTTGTTAGAAGAACAGTGGGGGAAATGACCATGTGCAATGTGAAAGGCGTCAGGCATAGAGAATTATCACCCATCATGCACTTTGCCTCAGCTCAACGGATAATTTTAGTATCTACCAGCTCGCTGTTTTGTTTTTATGGCCCCGCAACTCTCCTCCGCTAAACCCGCTGCGAGCTGACTGACCAGCAGCGACGAGACGGACAAAGTTAGGACCAGAAAAGAACTAATACATGAAAAGTGAACAGTCAGGTTCGTCTGAAACTTGACTCCAAATGAATGCTAGTGTCGCTCTGCGACTGCGAGACGTTTGAATAGGCAACTGTTTGCTACAGCAATGTTATTTGGTTTTTAGTAGATTTTGTGGCATCTTTAAAATGAATTCTTGAGAGTTTTTATATGGATGTTCTGTGACTCAAGACGTTTATACAAATTTTGCCGAAGCTCTCGTTTGCATTCAATTCAAAGAGGCGCAGAAAACAATCTGTCATCAAGAGAAACGTGTCCTTCTTTTTCTCATTTCTTCCTAAAAAAACAGTCCACACTGCTGTTACACAACGACAGGAGGAAGGAATAAAACAGAGAAAGTCACATGTGCAGAGATGTTGCTTTACTCCCTCTCACTGTTCTACTCAGCAAAGGCTGCATTGCTTCTGAACACATAATGTAAAGTCCAATCCTCTGCACGCACACACACAATCACACACACACACACACACATACACGCACATACACACACACACACAGATGTCCACACAAATGAATCAGAGTGGTATTTGTGAAGGTTATAGAACTGACATTTGGTGGGTTTCAGAGGGATATAATGACCTTTCTGCTTCTACTGAAATATAGAATTACTAAGGAGACCACTGACTCTGTGTTTGTGCGTGTGTGTGTGTGTGTGTGTGTGTGTGTGTGTGTGTGTGTGTGTGTGTGTGTGTGTGTGCATGTGCATGTGTGTGCATATGTGTGCGTGCTCTTTCAGGTCCACAACAGCTGTAAAGAACAAATGGGCAAGGTGTGTCCCTTGGGTCAGTGTCGAGTGTCAATCATCCCTCCCACTGCACTTAACAGCATTGACTCAGATGGTGAGACACCTCTCACACGTATGCACACAGTACATTGTGTTCAAGGTTCAAAGTTCAGATTTGCCACCTCTCACTTGCAGTGGTGTAAATCCTTTGTCTGACACTGCCACTGACCCTCTAACGTTGCTGCTGTGGCACAGATCTTTACATTCACTATGTTTTAAAATGCTTGGTCAAAGCTTTTTAGCTTTCTACATGATTTGGATCCTCAGAAAAGACAGAAAAGTTTCTGTCGTCAGGAATTTACAGCTCTGACACAATCACAGTTCTCTAACGTTCAGGATCCATCACGAACTGATTTCTCAACATTTGAAAGCTAGAAATGTTTTCCAACACAACAACAAAACCTTCTTTTTCAGGCTTTTGGAAAGCCACCTCCGCGTCATGCTCCAGCCCTCTCCTCGTCTTGGTAAACTCCAAAAGTGGAGACAACCAGGGGGTCAAGTTCCTCCGCAAGTTCAAGCAGCTTCTCAACCCAGCTCAAGTCTTTGACCTGATGAACGGAGGACCAGAGCTCGGGTACTTGAGCTTTTTTTTTTTATTCTGAAAAGCTGCAGTGCTTTGGGGAAAGTGTTTTGGTTTTTCATGACATCTGCCTCTCTCTCTCTCTCTCTCTCTCTCTCTCTCTCCCTCTCTCCTCATCCTCCTCCCGTCCCGTCCCGTCCCACTCGCTCCTCTCCTCCTCTCCTCTCCTCTCTCAGCCTTCGCCTTTTCCAAAAGTTTGTGACGTTTCGTATCCTGGTGTGCGGAGGAGATGGGAGCGTGGGCTGGGTGCTCTCAGAGCTGGATAAACTCAACCTCCATAAACAGGTGAGAGCGACGAGGTGGACGAGGAGGAGGATGAGGGGTTGATGATGTAATCCTTATGTGAAAAGTAACTGAGAAGAACGCTGATGGGCGAGAGAAAGGCAGCGAGTTACCTGTTGTGCTAACGTGAGACAGCCTAACTTTTAAAATAAATCATTCTTCATCTGACGTGTAACGTTCGCAGACATCTTGACTTCATTCAAACCAGACAGGAAATGGTTCGGAGAGCCCGAACTAATCCATTAGTGGCATTGAATTAATCAGGATTAATGAATGCCATGTTGGATAACAAGGTTTTTTAATTTTAAATTAGCATCTCATTTGGATAAATAAATGCCATATCAAATCAGTCTGAATAATTTTAGGTCATGTCAGACTGGTCCGATTAACCAGTGTGTCAAGAATCAGCCAGCCTGTTTCTTTAATGTCAAACATTTCACACTATTTTCCATGTCTGTAGATAGAAGAATAGTTTTTGTCCTTTTAGTTTAGTTTAATATTTGGTCTCAGTTTATCATGTTTTCACTTTGATTGTTCATTATAACAATATTGTAATTACTGTTTGCTGAAAAATGCAGGATTCTGACAAAACTTTCATATATAATTAATCTTTATACCAAACATCAGGACCTGTAAACATCATCCTGTGAGCTCCAATTACCCCTCGAAATAATAGAGCAACTTATTTGGTGGTGATTGGAACATGAAGACGCCTCCATGACTTGTGGACTGTCATCGTGTTGATTTTAAAACCACTAAGAAAAGATTTTTAAAGTGCGTCTGCAGCTTGTTTGTGACTCTAAATATCAGTATAAGGAAGCTGAATGAAAGTTGTATCCTTCAGTGCATCTGTGTGAAATCCTTCACTGTGATCCAAACACAATGCTGAAGTAATTAAATGTTTAATTAGAACTTCGGGTTTGCGTCCACGCGTTTATTTGTGCAGACTAATCTGACGTAGTTGTTTTGATTAATTGGACAGGTGTGTTTTAATTAACAAAAACAACTGAAAATGTGATTTATTGATTTGTTTGCAGATGATTTACTGATCTCTGCCTCTGGTTATCACATGTTGCAGCAGCAGCAGCAGCAGCAGCGCGTCTGTTGTTGAGAAGTAACCGATTCTGCTCCGTGTCTGTCTCTGCAGTGCCAGCTCGGCGTGCTGCCTCTGGGCACAGGTAACGACCTGGCTCGCGTTCTGGGCTGGGGGGGCCTCTGTGACGACGACGCTCAGCTGCTGCAGATCCTGGAGAAGCTGGAGAGAGCCACCACCAAAATGTTGGACCGGTAAGACCATGAAGAGGGGAGCAACAACTTGTGTTCAAGGATTTAGTTTCCTCAGATTTTAAGTCGGTTTCCAGTGAGCTGAGCACTGAACTGCTTAAAGCTACAGTACGTATATGACTGTGAGCATCGATCTGTTTTTGCACCGTGACGAACAGGAAAACTGTCCACAGGGTTTTCTCACAAGACGCTGGTGGAGGACTTCCCAAATGGATGAGTTAATGAAAGCAGTGTCTAAATCTAATCCTCCTTGTGGTTAAATTTCTTAAGGGAAACAGACAGAGCAAGCAATCGTCAAAACAAGAAAGATAATTAGATAAAAAAAAAAAAAAAATACCCCTGGCTTTTTATCTAATTTACATCTCTGGGGAAGATGCATGAACGACTTAAAAATTAGCTTTGCACTTTTAATGACATGGAGCTTAGCAATGACAGGATGAACATGGACAGTATCGGTGCACAGTTGGCTGATTCTCCCCCAACATTAACAAAACATGAAATCAACCAGTGACTGCCAAGTTCTCTGTCTCATTAATGTGATGAAAAACAATGACGCACTTCAGAGAATTACACTCACCTCTTGCCTAATAGTGAGTAAGTTTTACACGTTACAAGTTTCTTCGCTTGTTTGTCAGGGACAGAGCTGATTGCTTAATTAATTTTACCTCTTGTCCTTCCTACCTTCATCATCCACTTACTGTTTCTATAATCATTGTTGTAAATGAGGTATTGTGGCTCCATAGAGAATCAGGTGTAAAATAACCATGTGAAATGTATACAGACTAACTCATGACAAAAGACTTCCTGTGTTTCATGCACAGTGTGGGGTTTGTTTTCTACAGCGCACCTTGAGCTTTGAACTGTTGCGGCATATTCTTCACTCTGTGGTCGAAAACAGCTGGGGCGAACAGAGAGAGAGAGAGAGAGAGAGGAGGCGTCGCTGCAGTCTAGGAAAAGTCTAATGCGTATTGGAATGTGAGACTGAAGTAATGTGTTCCACATACCTGACTGCGTGTGCAACACTTGAGAAATGTACTCTGTGTTGTGTAAATGTGTCATCAGCTGTCGTCGGTTTCATCATCTTCCTCATTTTGCAACACTTCCCTCTTTATATGGACGTAGGCAGTTGATAAGAGTCTTTTACAACTTCATCCAGGTAATTAACCCATTTAGGGACATGCTCATGTTTGTGCAAAAATAAAGTACCCAAACTGTGGAAAACACTTTGGAGCCAGAGCCATAAATCTGAACCAATTCTGTGTCAGCAGCTGTTGCAGTTGCACGGCGATCCTGAAATGAATCGGGAGACTTGTTGCTTTCAAACGATGTGTAATTTCTCAAGGTTCAACACGTCAAAACACGGACAAGTAGTTGTACCAGGGCCAAGGCTTCCCCTTGGGTGGGACGGTGTATTTCTGAAAGGCTCAGGTGCATTTTGGGGGGGAAAAAAAAAAAAAATTACAACAGCGTGACTCTGTTTATTATCAACCTGTCAAAAATGCCATGGTCCAGCTGTGTTTTGTTGCAGTGTGTGTGTGGTTTCTTTTTTTTTTCATAAATGCTAGTAAATTGAGTCAGAAACAACCAAACCGCAGCGTGTTAAGTTCAAGGATTAAATGTCTTGCTCAAGGGCTTCTCAGCAGGGCAGATACATTTGAGAGGAAGTTAAACATTTGATGAAAAAGAATGTAATTTGATTTGGTAAAAAAAAAAAAAAAGTGTTGAAAGTTGTCTTTTGTCCTTGGTTTGAACTTTGATCTGCTGTTTTTATCAGCAGTACAACTACAGACGGGAAAAAGGATATGAAGGCTGGTGTTTCGACTCCCTCCCTCCTGTGTCCTATCTGATTCTGAGTCTCAGTCTGATTATCTGATCATAAAGTTGTTGTTGTTTTTTTTTTGCCTGGTGCTTGATGTCAGTGTATGTTTGTGTGTGTGCTCTCAGGTGGAGCGTGATGACATACGAGGTGCCCACCACCAACAAACACACGCCCATCGTGAAGGAAGACGACAGCCTCGATTCTCCTCTGCAGGTAAATTACTCCGCAGAACTTTCAGGAAGGCGTCTGCTTTTTTTTTGGGGGGGGGGGGTTTGACAGATGGTATCCATAAATTAGCTCCCACAAAAATCAGATCTCACAAGCTTCAAGAAAATTATTTTGGAAAACATCCCCCTGATGATCAATTGAACCCAGCAGCTGGAAAGCAAAAGCAGTCAGACTTCAAACGCAGGGAGTGGTGGAGATATCATATAAATATTCCAAAATCACAGTCACTCACTCTTCATCTGCTCAGTTTGGTGTATACTTTTAGGTTAAATCATATTTTCAATTTCCCCATTGTGAGCGCGTTGTTATTTAAAGGCTTGTAGGATGTTTATATATGTATTGTGTTATAGCGATGTGTGGCCAACAGTGTCGGTCAGTCAGCTGGCCCAGTCTGAAATATGCTCCCTTCAGAGTTGATAACTTAGGCGATCCTCTGACTTCCTTATCCAGCATCTCAGCTGTTCTTTGAGTTCAGTGCTGATTAGCTAATATCAGAATGCTAACATGCTAAACTTAGGATGATGATGGTGAACATTATTGCACAAAACATCATAAATTAAGATTTTCCTTAAAGTCTGAGTTAAAGTTTCCCAGGAAGAAGATGCTGATGATGATGATGATGATGCTCCACGACCTGGAGACGCCCTTAACGATGCAGCATGATTTTACCGCTGTAAAACCTTTCACTGCTGCAAACGCCTTCGCTTTTTTTCCTTAACTATGGAAACCTTTGAAGATATTCTGTGCAACACCCTTAAGCAACTACTTCAGCAAAGGAGAAATTATACCACCTGTTTCTTTTATAATTGTGAAGTGTTTCTCTTCCTCTCCCTCAGGTCCACATCACTCAGTATGCAGACTCCGTGGCCTCCCACCTCGCCAAGATCCTGGACTCGGACAAACACAGTGATGTCATTTCCTCTGCCAAGTACGTGCCATGAATGACTTAAAAAAAAAAAAAAAAAAAAAAAAACTGAGACAGGAGGAAGCAGGTGGAGGATGGAGAGAAGGAGAAGCAGATGAAAATAAAGAGAGGAGGATGAAGGTTGGGAAGGAAAAAGAGAGGAGAAGAAAGATGATTAGAGAAAGAGGCAGACAAAGAGGGGCGAGTCAATGGCTATTGATTTTTTTTTCTCATCTCAAAGGACACACACACACACACACACACACACACACACACACACACACACACACACACACACACACACACACACACACACACACACACACACACACACGTACAGATGGGACAGTAGGTGCCGCCCGGCTTTAAATGAAAGAGACGGATGAATCGGTGTTTAGGGGTCGTCCTCAGTGCATTAGTGCTGTGGGAGTCTTCCTTTGGGAAAAGTCTAAGGGCCATTACAGAGCACTTTCCTCCACTGATGCTGTGTGTTTTAAACTGCTGCTGATTGTAAGTGGAGACCTGCGGCACATTTAAAACACCTCGGGGACTTAAGGACACACTTCAAAGCACGTCAACACCAGTTTTGTCAGAGTATTTTTTGCAGCCACAACAGTTTAATTTGAACAGGTTTCCACCAGCCGAGGGTCAGGAGAAACAGATAGAAGAGAAATCATTTCAAAAAGAAACAAGATTAAAATTTCATTTGTGGGATTTTACAAGCATCAGAATATTCGCTCGTCAAAACGATATCTCGGTCACTTCAGGGGATTTCTTCAAATTTGGAACAAATGTTCATTTGGACTCAAAGATGAACCGATTAGATTTTGGTGTTCAAAGGTCAAGGTCATGTCCTTACCTTTCTTGAGAGATGCAATTAGGAATGCATGGAAGCCCTTTCATTACATTTAGCATAAATGTTCACTTGGACTCGGGGATGAACTGATTATATTTGGTGTTCAAAGGTCAAGGTTACTTGGCCATAACTCAAGAATTCATAGGCTCATTATGATGAAATACACTTAATACATTTTATTAAATTCCTTTGCTACATATATTAAATGATTCTGGAAAGACATGGATGTAAATTTCTCTTAAAATAGTAAAATTCTATTAATTTAGCTCAGGTAAATTGAATTGATTAAATGTTATATACACTATAAATTACATAATTAAATCTAATTAATGTAATTATTTTATCTCAATTTTCTTTCGTTAATTAATTGAGCTCGGTTTCATTCAGTGTACTTTAATTTAGCAAATTAAATTCAATTTGAATAATTTCAAGCAATGTAATTTAAAATTAGCAAGCAATTTAATTAACCTTCAATAGATTAAATTTAATATAGTCAAATGTAATCATTTACCTAAATGTTATTTATTTCATTAAAATAATTTAACTTAATTTAATTCATTTAATTTATCTTAACCTAAAAATAGTTTATAGTAAATGAAATTAAATCAGCTCAATTTAATTCAGCAAATCAATGCACTTGATACTTTTTATTAAATTCCTTCAAAGTCTGAACAGACTTGCATGTGGAGGCATAAAACTGAGCCGGTAATACTAGTCTCTATATATTTTTCCATTAAGTGATTTGAATTTATTCCTAATATGCTGCCTCTTCAAGATATAAAGAGGTGTCAGGTGCAGATAATTATTATGATTTATACTTTTATGGAAAAGTAGCATCAAGACTCAGGCCATTTAGGGAGCTTATGTCATGTATAGGGCCATAACTGATAATGTCATTTACTGTAATGAATGTGTTGTCACTTTTCCAGCATAGACACTGAACGTACATTAAGTAATGTAAGATTGCTGTCAGGCTCTAATGGTTCCTTTTAACCATTAACAGTTACCTGTTACTGATATAATAGGGTCACGCTAAGTTAAGTCAATAAAGGATGGATAAACTGGAGGCTAGAAATGAACACTTTGTGCTGCTTTATGTTAGTTTTTTTATCAAATAATAAGAAAACATATAGCATAACACACAGAAAGGTGGCAGACAGTGTAAACACATGTAAGGAGGCTTCTGGGAAGACTTATCTACTCTTCCCAGAAGCCACCAGTTATCTAATTTAGAAATGAAATCTGCCTGAGTGCGCCTGCTGAGCCGCTTTAATAAGACTTTAATAAATAAGACGTGTTTTTTTAAAGTAGTATTCATTTTACAGGATCCAATATTTGCTAAATGCTCAAGGACTGTGTGAGTTTAGAGAAGCCGCCCTGCTGAGTCATACAGCAGCAATGTAACAGCTGTGAGTAAATAGTGACTGTGTGGAGGCGACGTAGCTGACAGGCAGGTAGGCGGCAATGAAACAGGAGTGTGTGTGTTTGTGTGTGTTTAATCTCCAAACACAGCGGCTGCGCAGTGAATCACCAAATCTGAAACGCTTTAACTTGATAATGTTGTTTCATTTTCAGCGTTAATCACGTTAACATTCGCCCTCACCTCCTCTCATTCCCTCCTCTCCTTTTGTCCCTCTGTGTGCACTCTCCACCGCTCCGTCAGGTTCCTGTGTGGGACGGTGAACGATTTTGTGGCGGAGGTGGGGAAGGCGTACGAGAGAGCCACGGAGAACAAGGAGGAGGCAGATGCGATGGCAAAGAAGGTAAATGGTTCTGTGTGTAATTGTGTGTATTATATAAGCGCTTGTATAACAGTAACTAGTGGGTAAGTGTAGGTGTGTGTGTGTGTGTGTGTGTTTGTGTGTGTGTACATGATAGAGAGAATGAGACAGAAATAGTTGTGTTGAAGGTTCAGTGTCACCATTCCCTCTCTCACTCCTTTGTGCCTTCGGCAGTCTGTGTTTTGTGTCTGTTCAATAATGCGACTCTTCATAAGAATGTGAAAGAGACATTGAAGCTCGAAGGCTGAACATGAGTGTCAAAGAGGATAGAGTGGAAAAATTGGGTTAAAGTCACTCCTCTGGCTAAAATTCTGCCTTTCCATTTAAGAAAACTCTTAACCCTTTGATTCCTTGCTCATTTTGGTTCAGTTCATTTATATACAGGCATATGTCATACCGTTAATATGTGATCTGTATCTGGATCCACAGGCCTTTGCATTTCTAGTTCACCTGGTATTAAATCGTGTTAACATTATCTTGATTCCCCCTACATCGTCATCTCAATATACAAATAAGTGAGGTAGGTCTCACGGACTTGTCAGCAAACACGGTGCATCTCAGATCGAAGAAAGAAATGCTAAGACTTGCAAGCTACTGTTACTGCTAGTAGCTTTAAGCTAGCAGGAAGAGGTGGAGTTAGGTGACCTTTAACTTGCTGGTCTATGAGCTGATTGCATGCATTTACACCTGCATTAACATGTGCTTTTATCCAGACAGAGATCACATCTTAATGCTAGGGTTAGTATTGTTATTTGCAGAAAAAGTTCCTTACCAGATTGCAAAATAATGTCTGACATTAAAAGCTACTTTTAAAAAAGGGGAAAACTGGATTTCAAGAGGTTTTAAACTTTATTGTTAGAGCAGCTGTCTGTCACGAGCAGGAAAAAGACCTACATGTTTGAAACTGCAAAGAAAACCATGCTGAGAGAGTGAGTGCTTTACCAAGGTCTTTTCTTTTGTAAAGGCTTTTGTGAGACGTTTCCAAGAAAGAGAAAATGTTCTCGCCTGGCTGAGGCGGCTCGAGCCTCCACCAAACTCCCCTGTCAGAGTGCTTCCAAGTTCCATCCTGTTTATCCGTCTTTCTCCAGATAATGCAATGCTTTATTGATTCCCAGAGGGAAATTTTCCTATTGATTCTGCAAATATAAGACCTCTGCATGCTGAATAACAGCGGGTATTGATTTAACGCTGGTTTCGGGTGTCATCGCACAGATTTTAGAATTTAAGTTAAGTTCTGCCTAGCGATGATGTGTGCTGTATTTACACGCCTCTCATTTGACTCTGAGCTGAGCAGCACAGACAATAATAATCTCTCTCTGTGCCTTTCCCAGTGTGCGTTGCTGAATGAGAAGCTTGATTCCCTCGTCAAGGCCTTAAGCGAGGAAGCGGAAGCCCAGGTAATAATGCCAATTATAATCAATATGTAATAGTCAAAGCAATCAGTGCGGTCTTACATGCTGATTAAAATCACAATACAACCGGAACAATTGACATCGAGAAACAAAATGTTACTTCAGGCGCTTGGAAAAGGTGATAAATCATGACTAAGAACACAAAAACATTTTTTAAAGGAGCTGTTTGGAAGTTTTGCTATTGATACGTAGCATAAATGCCAAAATGAAGCTCTTGGAAAAACTGGTAGGTAAACGGCTGTTAAAGCTAACGTTAGCTATGTAGCAATAGCAAAACTTACAAAGGATAGCAGTCAATATAATGACAAAGCAAGTTAAACTGATAGAACACTGTATGTATATATCACATTTGTTTATGTGTATGCATGAATATATTTTTTTGCTCTTTATTCATTCTGATTTATGATTATTAACCTTTTAACGTAGAGTTTTGGCCTCTGTCCCTGTTTGATGATGTCGAAGCTGTAAACTAATGTATGTAACTCAATGATGCTTTTAGCTCAGAGAGGAAATAAAGTTTTCCTCTTCAGTTTAAACATAAGACGGTTTTTAAATCCTCATGATTTCAACCTCCTGCTCAATAAAAGAAAAGAGGTGAACTTTAGCTTTGAATCAAACATCTATGTATATTTTATATTTGATAAATAAAATATGGATAACTTCATTATCCAACGTCCGGTAAATTGATATTAAATGCTGCTTTCCGTTGTCAGAAATAAGAGGAAGACAAGATTTCACACCAGTAAAAAGGGCTCCACAGGGCAGGAAGATTAAAAATGTATAAATGAGGAGACATTTTCTGGTTAAATATTGCTGCTTTGGTGATGCTGCAGGGTTCCCACTGCTCTTATAAATGAAAGAAATCTTACGAGGAAGTCACTTAACGGGACAAAAAGGTCGCTTAACAGGATTATACCAGAGGATATTTTACAGATATTGTTCTGCAGTGAAGAAGAAGACATTTTCCCTTTATCTACCTTCATTCAGGTGGTGCCAGCAGGTTCAGTGCCCAGCCAGGAGAGCGGAGGCTCCAGCCCCGGTGAAAGTGGCGGTGAGTCGGGTTCAGAGGGCAAAACATACCGGTCCAAGGAGCAGCTGATGCTCAGGGCCAACAGCCTGAAGAAAGCCCTGAGGCAGATCATCGAACAGGCTGAGAAAGGTAAGAGGAAAGCTGTTTGACCTTGGTGTCATTTTATATAAAGCATCAAATCGGGCTTATTTCGTTAACATGATTGTGCTGTGGGAAGATCACCGATCATTCGCCGTCATCATTTCAGTGGTGGACGAACAGAACCGACACACACAGGTCCAGAGGATGTCGTCCTCGTCCTCCATCAAAAGAGAAAACAGTGAGGAGCTGAAGGATGCTGAGCCACGTAAGTGTCGCTTTCATTCACTCTCAGCAGGGATGTGAAGTGAAGGGACAAAATCCAAAATGCTATTTGTACATTTTGGGAAAAACGATGTCGGTATATTAAAAACTCAAACCTCTGTATTTTGTCAGAAAAGGTTTGAAGATTGAAGAATAACCCGTAGAGAACAACAAACTGTTTTTGTTTTTGGGCATTTTATAAGACATTTGTTACATCAGTACAATTTTCAATTGGAAGACATTTCACTTACCCATCATGCCTCATTCCAGGTCCAGGAGGTTTAAGTCCCATCTCGCCCATCGTCCTGGAGAAACCAGAGAGCCTCAACACCGTCACCTTCAACGAGGACTCTGTGTAAGTCTGTGTGTACACTCATCTGTTTCCTATGTGTTTCTGCTCCTCTATTAACGCTCTATGATGTTCGAATGAATAATCCTTATTGTACGTATCTGCAGACAATGTTCAGAGAAGTGTGTGATGAACAACTACTTCGGCATCGGCCTGGACGCCAAGATTTCCCTGGAGTTCAACAACAAGAGAGATGAGCACCCCAAGAAATGCAGGTACGAAGACACACACACACACACACACACACACAGAAGAAAATTACAATCTGTACACTGAGAAGTTGTTTAATTTTGTGACTCAACAACTCTCGTAAGAAGGAATACCTAATATTAATGCCTGTTTGGTTTTCTTCACCTAAGATCAGCATAGTTAGAAAACACATTTAACACATATTTATCTCCTCTGTTCATATTTATCTCAGTACGGCAGTTTCTGTTTGACTTAAATCTGTTTAAATATATATATAACGAATCAGCCCATAACATTCCCAATAATGCTGGTGATGTTTGAAGCTTGTTGAGTGTGTAAAATGAAGAGAGCAGACTGCTGGTAACTAGTGATGCTTTGGTAATAAATGGATAGAAGAGAGTAAATAACATTTAAAGGCAACGCAGAGCAAGTTTACAACAAGCCCTAAAAGGCATTAAGACGACATATAAGAATGACACAAGACGATATGAAAAAGGACAGAACATAGAAGATAAAAAATAATATAAAAGACATATTTAACAGGAGAATAAAGGAAGTGAGATTTGAATAAAATGACAGATATTGGAGAAAGAGTGATGACTGAAAACGAAGCTTGTTTAGTCAGAAGAAATCACCCCAGACATCTCAGTGTTACGTGACTCACTCAACAGTTTAATCATCAGCACAAAAGATTAACAACCGTGTTACGATAAATCTGGTTCTCTGATGTAAAAAAGAAAAGAGAGAGAGAGTCTAAGGTACGAGCTTTGTGTTCATACAATTTCTGAATTAATGAGACAATTATAGCATTGTGTTTTGTTTCTCCATGGCAACAGTGCCTGAGGCTTATGGGTATTGTAATATTTAGATCTATCCATTATGATTGTAGCAAAAACCTGTATCGTTACAAGTTGGTACATTATCTGGGAGACTCTTATGTTTCTGTGTTAAGTAAAAATTAAAGATGTTTATTTCATATAAAGAAAACACTGAAAGAGTCAGCAGCACCTCCTACTCATTCAACTTCATGTCCATACACTGTCACCAGCTGCAGTGACTCAGCTCCACCTTATTTATTGATGTTGTTCTCTGATCCATAAAGTTTTAATCTAATGAAACAAAAACAGCGTTGACTGGTTCCTCCCTCCCGTCTCCTCCTGCAGCAGTCGCACCAAAAACATGATGTGGTACGGGGTTCTGGGAACCAAAGAGCTGGTCCAGAAGACGTACAAGAACCTGGAGCAGAGAGTTCAGCTGGAGGTGAGAGACACACACACACACACACACACACACACTGATTTCTCTGAACAAATGAGGAACAGAATGTAGCTGCTTGTGTTGTGGGAAACAAATAGCTATCAGCTGTTTTCCTCTCACATCCTGAACGTATTTTTTTTCTAACTTCCTGTCTTCAGTGTGACGGCGTTCCCATGTCTCTGCCGAGTCTGCAGGGCTTGGCTGTGCTCAACATCCCCAGTTATGCAGGTGGTATCAACTTCTGGGGAGGGACCAAGGAGGACAATGTAAGTGTACAGGAGATTGATCCACACATTTAAAATAAAAACAAAAAACCTGCCATCGAGCACATTGGAAGTGATGTGGCTGATGTTCTTCGCTCTCATCTTTCACGTTACGTTCAGAACTTCGGGGCTCCGTCGTTTGACGATAAGAAGTTGGAGGTGGTGGCTGTGTTCGGCAGCATGCAGATGGCCGTGTCCCGAGTCATCAATCTGCAGCACCACCGCATTGCGCAGGTAACACCCACGTCCTCGCATACATACAGCTACAGTCGGGTTTTATTAAAACATTTCACAAGTTCCTCCCCCTCCTCGTGCAAAGAGACATTTGCATTTTGAGACTCACGTCTCTTTGCAACAAAAGCCTGAGTAAAAGAAATTATTTCAACATTGTTGGGTCTTATTTTTCATTTATTGACGTCTTAAAAAGCATTAAAATCAGAACCCGGAGAAGGTACTTGGATGCACCAGTTTTTATTTATTCTAAACTTGAAGTGAATGACAAACAATCGTTTCCCTTTCAGTCACAAAGACACGGTATGGGGACTGCAGTTTAACAGACATTGCGTTAAAGCAGAACGTCACAATGGGGAGACGGGAACTTGACAACTTAGAAAAAGGTTTCGGGGGAAGGAATAGAACAAATATATGTTGATTGATTGTGACGGACTGTGTTGCAAACCTCAGATAATCAGTTCTGTTGCTTTACTGGAAATAAGCTCCAGTGCACTTTGCTGACTCTGAGCCTGCAGAGGAGTCACATGGTTCAGATATACCAACTCTGAAATGTCCAACAGCAGAGGACATGGGAGGTCAAGCAGGGAATAGCTGTTTAAAAAAAAAAAAAAAAAAAGGACTCTATGAGAAAAAACAAGGCGTCTCATCTGACAAGTGCTGTTTTCCACTCTGCTGCGTCTCAGTGCCGTCAGGTGAAGATCACCATCCTGGGGGAGGAGGGGGTTCCCGTGCAGGTGGACGGAGAGGCTTGGATCCAGCCGCCCGGCATCGTCAAAATCATCCACAAGAACCGGGCACAGATGCTCACCAGAGACAGGGTAAAAAAACTGACACATGATTTTCACTATATATTCAATAAAAATTGATTTTTACAGCATAGAAATGTGTGTGTGGGAACTGTGTGTCACTACATTTCCATGTGCATATGTATAAGTCTGTTATATGCATATGAAAAACAACAGTCCTGGCTCAAAACACTCTTCCTTTCATAAATATTGCAGCTGAAAATCCACTCCCAGGCTCCAGCTCTCTGCCCGTGTTGTTGACTCTTTCTATTTTGGGGATTTCTAGAATCACACTTGAACCCGCTGTGTTTGTTCTCTCTCTTCACTCTGCTCAAACCTTTTGAGAGCTCTCCTGAGCCGAGCACATTTGGGCAGTTTGTTTCCATGGTTTCCCTCCTTAAGTACCACAGAGAGACAAGATGTAGGCTCACTGGTTTTATCCTCCTTAGAAGAGGCTTTTATTTACTCAAATAGTGACAGTACAGTTTCAGCCTTGAGATTATTGACAAGTTATTAAATAAAATTTGTACATTCCTTCATTCCATCAGATTTACAGATTAAAAAAGAGTTTTGTCTCTTATATCTCAGTCCAGATTTGTTTACTGGAAACTTTTCTACCTTGTTTATATGTCTACACAAATACACAAAATGTGAAGAACCACCTTGAACCTGTTTCATGTTGCCCTTGAATTTGGTTTCTCTAGCAAGTGACTCACACCTAAAACTAAGACCCTGTCTCTGTGCGTCCAGGCCTTTGAGAGCACGCTGAAGTCGTGGGAGGACAAGAGGAAGATCGACAGCTACCGTGCCACCAGGCCCCGCCTAAACTCCCAGCAGTCCATGGAGTACCTGACTGAGGAGGAGTGCGCTCAGGTTCAGCAGCTGGGCATGGTGGCCGACTCCCTCATCAACAAGTAAGAAGCTCGTCACGGTGAAGTTTGAAGTCTTGTTCAAAGAGGCAATCCTAACTGTGCCAAAACTTTTGCATGCAACTGTCTATCTACCATATATTTAATATATCGTAAATACTTTCATTTGATGTTAAGCTGTCGGTGAAACTCGATACTCCCTCTACATATTTCACAATAAAAGCCTACCAGAAAAGGGAGGGATTATGTGCTGGAATGCTCTTCTGTTGACGTTAGCTTAACACACAATGAAAGGAATGACAGAGTAGATGTGGTTGGAGTGTAATTACTGAATGAGAATAGTATTTTATTAAAAAAGAGAACCTAAATGCAGCTGAGTTTAGGTATGACATCACTCTGTTGTTACTGTCAATATATTTCAAACACATTAAAACAGGAGGAGATTAGAAAAAAGTGAGATGTTTTACTGAAATATTGTAAAATTATACAGTATATAAAATCCATTACAAGTGGAATAAAGAAAGAATGGGACTAAAGTTAGACAAAGGATCATTTAGTTGTTTTGTTCCAGCACCCAGGAAGTTATTTTGCATAAAGGCCTCTCTCTCATTAAAATCTATTTCAAATGCTTGGTATGAGGATTTACAGTAACTCACTTCTACTATTACAGTTGTACACACACAGTGTATTAAAGCAAACTTCCCCTTTGATGATCAGCATCTGAAGATGTCAAAAGGGAATTTTGCTCCACATTTTGGGATTATTTTATCCCACTGCAATCAGCTCGCTTATTTGCAAAGTTTTTCTCTGCTGCACTGATGAGTCATTTTATTTCTCTTTTTGAACACTTCCAAACCGTTTGTGTCCCTCTGAAGTCTTCTCAGCTCGTCGCAGCTTGTCTGCTTTTATTATGATCTTTTCAATCTTGTCTGCAAAACTAAATTCCCCTTTCAGGATGATAAATATTTTAATTACATGTGTAAACTTATCTCAGAAGTTGAAGAATAGTCATAAAGGGGTTTTTCTTGTGGTCGGGGAAAGTAAATGGAAAGAGATTTGATATGGGGAATTTGAGAGCACAATAAAAAGTATGCGTGGTGTAATTTCCACCCTTTGATATTTCATAAAAAAGACTCAATGTGGAGATGTTGGGAGATGTTATATAAATGATATGAGATGGATATATTTTTTTACCTTAAAGTGGTTTAGGTTTATCAGAATTTCTTCAAATTGACTTTATTAGTTGACATTACATCCCTGTTTTTATAATAAAGCTGTTGCAGTTGTGAAGTTTTGTCACAATTTTCAATAATTTTGGAGTTGAAATCCGAGCATCTACATCTACTGAACCAGCAGGAGGTACCGTAGACGGAGAAAGGAATCAGGCTTTTGTCCCATCAACAGGCAGAGATAACTAGTTGGAATAATCTCCATAATTATGCCCTTTCAGCTTGTTGAAATAATAATTATAGTGCTTTCAAGTCTATGATTTCCTCCTTCATCCTCCCCAGGATTCGCGAGGCAGCCAAGACCCACAAGCTGGTGGAGCAGGAGTTGGCTCACGCCGTCAACGCCACCGCCCTGGTGCTCACTGAGGCCAAACTGTCCAGCCCTGAGGTAAGACACTGAGGAGGAAAGGGGGACAGACGGGACAGACAAATGGGCTGATTTGACTGAGGAAATGGAGAATGCAGATTTTCAGCAGTACGCTTGTCAGTTTTTACAGGCAGTTCATTTTGTGGCCTGTTAATCTGAAATGCATCGGTGACATCACTTCAAGGACAGAGCAGGCTCTCCTGTCTGACGCTGTGGAGGCTCAAAGTGTTCAAAATTAAATGTAAAGGAGAAATATATAATATAACAATGAAATTTCTAACTATTATTAACTGTTATTTCATCCTACTGCTTTTCAATGTAACTCATTTTTTTCTGCAGGTTATTTTTATTTGCAATTTTTTTTATTTCCAAGGTGATTTTTATTTTCCCAGTCTGCTTTAATTTCACAACGTTGTTTTTCCCAGTCACCAGTTTTACAAAAAGTGTCAGTGTTAAATAAACAATTGTGGGACTGCCTGTTTTTGGGGCTGAATAAGCAGAGTCACATAACTGCCTCTCCTGTTTGTCTTGTTTGACAAGGACTTGGGTCGCTTAAGCAGCGAAAACAGTCGTTAGGAAAAAATGATGTGAAATAAAAACACTTTGGAAAAAAGAGAAAAAGACACAAAACATTTTATAGTAATGACGTACATTTAAAAAAAAAAGAGTTTATTTAATTGTTTCACAGTTTCATGGTTATATGTATCTTGTCTGTATATGATTATTCATTTCAGGACTTGGTTATCTTTGTCTTTGTTTGAAAATAAATTCACTGAGTTGCAGTATTTAGTCATCTTTCTTTGAACCGCAGAATCCAGTCTATTGAAAGGCCGGATATTCATGAAGTTTTTTTGTTTTGTTTTGTTTTTGTTGTTTTTGACATATTCTAAATTTTGGATATTTTTTTTTTTGTAAACTGTCACATCCAAAAGTTTGTGTTGTTGTTGTAAAATCATTGCTGCAATGTGTTGCACACTGACTGCAATAAATGAAGCAATAGAAAAAATACATAAGTAATTGTTCTGATGTTTTAATGATTTGCTTACTTGTACAGTGGACAGTGGTACATCATCTGAGTCCTTAGCTTTGGGCCATTTATTGTACATTTTGTTTTTGGACACTTTCACTTATATGATGAAAAATCCTCATTTTGTTCATTTCCAGTGTCTGAGTCGCAGCACAGCGGTGGAAATTGTCAACAGCAGCAAAGTTCTCCAGGCTGAGACCAAGATGCTGCTCGATGGAAAACTACTGGTACAGCTCTACAATTTCATCCACGTCTTCTCTGTTGTTTCCTTTGTTTCCATTGTCTATTCTCTCTCTCTCTCTCTCTCTCTCTCCATCTTTGCTGAAGCCATTCAAGCCTTGAAGTCTCACATTTCAGTTTCTGTTGTCTATTGTCTTTGGTTAGTTTTTGTTTGCTATAGCTTTGTTTACCCAGTAGGGAAATTTACATTTTTTTACCATTGGCACTTTGTGCAGAAGAGCAAATATAATGGCAACATTACTGCAAACCATGACATACTTTCCTGCTGCTGTTATGTGCTCTTCTTTTTCATCTTCCTCAGTTTTTAAATGTTTATGTGTTTTTACTCTTTTCAGACTTTAGTAATTGGGCTAAACGTTTACTGCTTTTATCTTCTGTGCTTCTTCAACACTGGATGTCATTTTGCTTCCCTAAACTTGACATGAGAGAGACAAGATTAAATGATTAGACACAGGGTGCATTAGCATAATATGCAAATTACCTTTAGTTTGAAAGAATTTGCAGTACGACTGTTGACAGATAATAAAAAGATGTTCACTGTTTACAAATCTGTCAACTTGCATATTATACGCAGGGTGTCAAAATGTACATCATCATCAGATTTGGTAAAAAATCATAGCAGATGTTAGCATTTTGCATTTTCAAATTTACAGCTGGAAGATCTTTTCAAAAATATTTCTCAATTGTTTATCTATTTATGCCTATAAACCTTTCAAGAACTTCGGACATTATTAAACCAAAACCCTTTCCTCCTCCTCCTCCTCAGTCGGAGTCTCCACAGGAAGAGGAGCTGCGGTCGACTCTGAACAGCCTCAGTGCCGAGCTCCACAAGCTGGACGACATCCACTGGATCTGTCCGCTCATGCAGTGCTCTGAGGAGGTGGGGAGACAAACTGCATGTCTCTGTTTGTGTATGTGTTTGAGAGAGAATCCACTGTATTATCACAGTCTATCCAACAACCAACACACTGCCAGTGTCACCTCTGCTGCTATGTCCTAACTGATAACAGCCCATCTGCCCTGACTTGAACTCAATTTCCACAATCTCTGCACCTTTCATAGGACTCGGTGAGAGGCAGCAGTAAGAGCAGCAGCAGTATGAAGCTGAAGATCATACCCAAGGTGAAGAAGGAAAGAGAGAAGCTCCACAAGCAGAAGTCCAACAGCTCTCTCTCAGGTAAAAGATCAGGACAGCATTGGATATGCAATCATGCTTCAAAGCCACAGTATGTTTGTCAGTGTTGGAATGGTACAAACAGAACCATATTAGTTCTCGTTGTCCAGAGAGGGAAACTATTTTTCAATTGTAGGAATGAACTGATCCAATTTGCTGGATCGGGATCATAGTGATTGATATTGGCTGTTTAGAGCATGACCTAGTGATCATGTGTTGTAATCATGTCAGCTGTCAGAAACTACTCAGTGTGTTGTGCAACCATGCAAGTTCAGCCGTAACTACAGCAGGATCGGGATTTTGCCCGATCCAGGCAGTTATTAACAGCTACATAGAGCCTAATCCATTTTTGATTATTTGTGTTGTTACAAACTCACTGAGTTTGACACTATAATCTAAAACAGGAAGTAATCTCGACGATCTCTGAAAGTGCACCTACTCTAAAAAAGGAAGTAGACAGCCATCTTGTTGTCATCTATTCATTTTGGAGAGACTTTGGCATCTTTTTTTTGGTATATTGGTAATATTTATCTATTTATCATTGTTAAGAAAGGAACACAGGCTGACATTTTTATTTCATTTTTCTCTCTGTCCTGCAGGAACTTGGGATATCAAAGGTGGGGCCAGTGATGCAGATTGCTCGGGCAATTGAAGTCATGCATGAGGTGCTTTATTACCACCCCAATTACCCTGCAAAGCAGAGGTGAGGAACACCCCACCTGTTCTCCTCCCCTCTAACCATGATGCCCAGTGGCTTGACAGAGATGTGAGGAAGAAAAGGAAAACCATCTTCCCAACTTTTATGCCATTTCCTCCCTGTTTTACTTCTTTGTTCTCTTTTTTTCGCAAACAGGGAGGAATTTTTTTTCTTGTTTTTATCTAGTTTTTTCTGAAGGGGCTTGGCTTTGCATCGCATCGCTTTACCATCGGCGTTGTGCTTTTGGTTCTGTTAACCTGCTTGAGCTAGGAAGTGGGCGTGGCTAGCAGCAAATCAAACAGTGGACAAGGGAGACGTGGAAGGTCGGCGTTCTCCTCGCAAACTTTTTTTTTTTTTTTTTTTTGACAAAGAAATGTGTTTACGTGGTGCTCTCCTTGCATGTCGAGTGCGGCCATCTTATTTTATATCTATTATTATAAGTTACGGTTGTTTAATTTTTTTCTCTCTAACTTTAATTGTTTTATTTCTGAACTTATCCTTTAGACTTTGATTTTTCTCGAGACTATCTAAGAGTATTTATTTGTTGTTGCTACTGCCATGAGAACTCCAACGGCAACAAATCAACAAAATGAACAAACTGAAACATCTCAACCTTATGTCTACTGAACTGGAGAATATCTTAAATGTTGCAAAAAATATACTGAGGAATGTACTTGTGTGGACTTGTATTAACCTGTGAATAATGATAATGTTAAACGATAAATCATATACTGTATGATTTCACAAAGGTTCTATTGTTGTGGTTCTAAAGTGGTTCTTAATAGGCTGTTGTGTGACTAATGTGGTCCAAGGCTATGCAGCCATGCTGCAAAAAATAATGTTCTTTATGATGAGTCATTTCATCTAGATTTCAGCCTCATGAAAAGATCCGTCTGTGGGATTTAAAGTACGGTACATCACTTAGTTGTTATCAAGGTCCAAAATGTTACTTGTGTGGGAGTCAAAAAATCTTATCCGACTGTGCTTTTTTTTTTTTTTTCCACTTCTTTTTTTGAGGATCATTTCAAGGTACAGCACTAGATGAAATGACTCAATAAGTTAAGGTATTTTTGGCAGTGTGTGGTGAGGGTGTTTTACAGAAGGAGGAAGCATCAAGGACACATTGACAAAACATTACAGCTACTCAGCATATTACTCCTACTTTGCCATACTTTTGATTGTATATGTAATATAAGAATAAGAGTCAGTGGACATTTGATTTTTGCCTTGTCTGTGGTTAAAAGCTATTATTATCATTACTGTTATTACAAATATATATATCTATTTTTTTGTATATCTTATTTTCCCAATGGTAATCTGTGAAGCTGTTCTAGCTTTGCTGCTTCCCCCTTTGAGAAACTCCTCGGCCACTGTGCATATAATTGAAGCCAATTAACGCTGTTCTGTGTGTCCCTGCATGCATACTTAGCCTTCCTTCGCCTCACAGTGCGGACTGAAGTTGCCTCATAACAGTGAATTTTAGCTCGTTTGTTCCAGCCAGTGGTATTTATGAGTATTTATTTTTAGTTTGTTTTAACCTGCTTCTCGGTCCAGGTTGTTGGGGTTTAACTGCAACAGACCACTGGAGACACATGTAACTGAAATGTTTAAACTTCACGAGAGTGTTTTGATTTACACCATTTCTTCCCACACAGTTCTCCAAGCAGATTACAACAAACTCAACTACTTCATATATCGGAATCTTAATTGCCCTAGCTACAGCTAAGACAAGTACGAGAATGTGCCACTGTTTTGACACAGCTAAAATACTGACGTTTACGAGTTCTAGAGACAATTTCTACCCAGGTTTTACAGTAATGATCCTTTATGGAATACACCAGTATTTGGGGAAATTCACTTATTTGCTGTATTACGTCAAGATGGACAAGAAGATATCTTTTTCATCTTTGTGCACTCAGTAAAGAGGTAGAAAGAGGAAGCTCCGAGATGTGATTAGCTTAGCAACAAATAAAAAATAAAACAAACAAACAAACAAACAAACAGAAAAAAACTGGAATAATTGGGAAACGTTTTCAAATTGGTTTTTGGATTTTCTTTTACTACAGGTCATAAAATGTGTATGTATATATATATATATATATACGGTAAAAAAGACAACTTTTTTGTTGGAAGGTACTTTTGATGAAGCTAGGCTAGCTGATTCCTTTGCTTTCAGTGCTTTGTCATAAGCTAGACTAAACAGGTCGAAGCTAACTGTGTACTGAACGGACAGAGATGAATTATAGATACTTCTATCTAGCGCTAACACAGCAAAAATGTGGATTATTGTCAGCATTATTTTAAAAGTTTTAATTGTTCAGCTGTAATGAAGTATTGTTTACCAGTCAAGACTAGACTTGAGTCAAATAGAAGCTACAAATGTTTGTAAGCTGTGCAGAGTGCTAATGGTGGAGTTCGTTCCATCATCTAACGGTCGGTATGAACTATGAAGAACCACAGAGAAGTATTTTGTTTTATACACAACTTGCCTAAAGTTGATTTGTCATGAGCAACTCCAACACTAACATATCAACATCATCACAAATACACTTTGACCTAGTTCTGGTCAAGATGGACAAAGTTATTTGGAGCTTTAAATTGAACATTACAACCAAGAGTGAGGCTGTAAACATGTAAAGGATCATTTCTGTGCTTCTTCCCATTCACTGAAAGGGTTGGTTCTTAATTTTCTCAGTTATTTACACGTTTATCGAACTAACCCGAGCTAAGTCTTGATAGGGCGGAGTTACTGTGAGGCGTTGTAGATGTTCAGATCTGGTAGGATTGTGTTACTGTATCCATAGTGTGCCAGCTATACGCTCTACACCTTAGAGGCTTTAGTAGTGTCGTGCCAAGTTTGTACTGAGTTCAGTGGGTTATGAGAAATGTGTGTGTGTGTGTGTGTGTGTGTGTGTAAGGGTGTGAGAATGTGTGAGCTAATTTGCGCTTCAGTTGCGAAAGTTGTTGTATGTCGTACATTTCAAAGTTTACTGTATCTTGCCTTGCACTTTACGAAGAAGCAAACTTAATGGGGGGAAAAAAGACATTTTTGTGTATGTGTGCGTGTGTTTAAGAGTTCGAGTGGTTAAGAGTGATTTGTTTTTTTAAATTGATTTAATGACACAATATTTTATTTATGAGAAATGTATACGGACAAAAGTGTGTTGATAAAATGTAATATATCTAACCAAACATAAAAGAATGATAAATATATTGAGATGTATACACAAATGTTTATTACATCAGTGGTTGTACAATTACTCTCACAGCAGCTTGAGACCTCCCATTTAACACCAATGTTCTTATATGTGATTAATGTGTCATTCCACTGCCACAGCACTGTCTTTGAAATGTCTTTCCAATGTTACACCAATTGGTATTGAAATAGTTTTCTTAAAAAAATTTACCAATGTTAAAGATATTCTAACCTTAAGCCAAAGTTCTAGAAATTCTCCAGTGTTATTACAGACTATTAACGAATCGTTTACACAGAAAAGATGTCATGTACAGCCTGTGTTTATTCAATATTTGGGTGAAATTTTTGTGTATTACTTTTGATCTGATTAGCGTTCGTTGTGCTGTAAATGAACACAAAGGTGTTTTGGGGAACACACCTTTGTGGAAGCCATTTTGGGATGAAAAACTAGTTGCCTATGTTTAATGGTCTTTTAACCAATGATTTCATAGTTTGTTTGGTTTGGTTTATTCCACTTTTTTTGTTCGTGTAATTTTTTTATTTATTTTTTTTTTCAAGCAGCAAAAATGGACTGAAACTCTTCCAAGGAGTTTCAGCTGAGTTGAGAAGCTGAGAAGAAAATTGACAGCTGAGAAATGATTCCAAACACTCTACCATGTTTGTGCAACAGTTTTCCATAAGACAACATTAGTGAATGCCCCCCCCCCCCCGATCTGAACAGCCTATATATCGAGACTGTGTGCGCAATGCTGGAAGCCAGACTAGATGTTGCACGACCTTGTACGTTGCGAGGTGTTTTATTGTGTTATCGTGTGCAGTGTGTAACAAAGACAAAGTCAGCGCAACCCTTTGGAGATTAAATGAATTATTGAAGTGTGAAGCTGGTGTCATGTGTTCATACTTAAAAACCTCAGGATACATTTAACTCTGTCTGTGATGTTAAGTCAATTTCAAGTGCTGATATTTTGCTTTTTGTTGCTTGTCACTTTTTGTTTACCTTGTGCATAGAGAGAATACTATATGTAAAGGCCTCAGTATGCTTCAAATGACCTTGGTTGCACCATGTGTCGTCTGACTGCATCTAATGGTGGAAGTGTTTAAAGTGGTTTTTGAATAGCCACATTCGAAGGTTGCCTCTTCAATTTCACTCAGTGTTTTTTTTTCTGCAGATTTTTGTAGTCTTGGCGTGATGAATTGCACATCCACCTTTTCAAACACTTCCAGATAGTCTCTCCTCTAAACCATTCTTGATTGTTCGACGTAGTTTACACTGTCAGAAAATAGGTTTCATACACTGTGAACCTTGATTTCTAATTTTGTCTTAAGGGGTTATCTTATGTGTGTAAGATTAGTATACTTGAAGCAGACTACTCGATGCTACATAGACCTTTTAAAACAGCAGTATCGCAGCAAGATGTTTTTATGCCTTGCTTCATTGTAGTGGTTTGGAATACTAACAATGGTATAAGCAATTTTACAAAATTACAACAAACTTATTATTTCTGATCTAATCCATACATACAAATGTATTACTGTATGAAATGCTTTGAAAATTTAACCTTTTTCAACACCAGGACTTACATGTACAGTAAACCCCTGCTAAAGGACTCTCCCCAAATCTCAGAAAACGCTGCAGCAGATTTACAAATAGGCGATGATAAACTTGACCCCACACTAGAAATGTACATGATTACGTTCTTGCCTGAAAACATATTCAAACTTTAAATAAAGTGACGTATTAACAGTCCCATGAATGAAATGTACAACCGCTTTTAGCCTGTTTTAAAATCCTGGCCAGTCTTCGCTGTTGCTGCCGGTTGGTGTGAGATGTATTCTGGCAGAGCCAGCCCAAGCCTTTATGGGGCCCTACGCAGAATTTGATTAGGCCAAGGGCATAGGTTTGGTCTCAACATTTGTAGGGATGCAACAACCCTGCCACCCCACAAAGAGATTGACTTTTTAATGCTGTCAGCCAAATGGTTTATTAATATATAAGATATGAATTTACACTGAGAAATGCCCATACTCAAATGTAAATGTGTTAAATCTACATATGAAGTAAAATCATATATGTATATACAGTATAGCCACCTGTTTTGACATATAATAATAATAATAACTTTATTTATATAGCACTTTTCAAAACAAAGTTACAAAGTCCTGTTCAAACATAAAAACAAAACAAAGCAATAAAAGACAGAGAAGAGAGGCAATGTGTAGTGCATAAGTACATGTGTTAAAACAATGAGATCAATAGAGAAACAAAAGAAAATAAAACCAAAAGTGAGGACCAAAGTTCAAATTTAAATCGAGAATTAAAAGCTGCTTTATACAACTGTGTTTTGAGATTTAAACAGGTGCAACGACTCGGCACACCTGAGATCCTCGGGCAGGGCATTCCAGAGTCTGGGGGCTCTAACGGCGAATGTGCAGTCACCTTTGGTTTTTAACAGAGACTTAGGGACAGATAGCAGAGTTTTGCCTGAGGATCTCAGGCAGCGCGTGTGTTCATAAGGGGAGAAGAGTTCTGAGATGTAGGAAGGTGCCAAACTGGACAGAGCCTTAAAAGTGATCAGAAGTTTTTTAAAATCGATCCTAAAAGACCCAGGTAGCCAATGTAAGGAGGATAAAATTGGTGTAATACGATCAAATTTTTGGGAACCAGTTCAGAGTCGAGCTGAAGCATTTTGTATGAGTTGAAGGGAATAAAGAGATTTTTAGGAGAGATGTGTGTATATAGGGAGTTGCAATAGTCAAGACGTGATGAGATGAATGCATGAATAACCTTCTCCAGATCAGTGAATGACAGAAATGATTCGATTTTGGCAATATTCCGTAACTGATAAAAACATGATTGGACAATGCTTTTTACATGAAGGTCCAATTTGAAGTCCAATTCGAATATCACTCCAAGATTTCTGGCAGAGGACTTGAGGTTGGAAGACAGTGGACCAAAGAGATCAGTATCAAACTGAACTCTGACATCAACGGGGGCAATGAGGACTTAGTATGGTAAGACCGAAAAACGTCAAAAAACGACATAGTATAATATGGCAAAAAAGTCAAAAAAACGACATAGTAAAGTATGGCTAAAAAGTGAAAATAACAACATAGTATAGTATGGCAAAAAAGTCAAACAAAACGACCTAGTATAGTATGGCAAAAAAGTCAAACAAAACGACCTAGTATAGTATGGCAAAAAAGTCAAACAAAACGACCTAGTATAGTATGGCAAAAAAGTCAAACAAAACGACCTAGTATAGTATGGCAAAAAAGTCAAACAAAACGACCTAGTATAGTATGGCAAAAAAGTCAAACAAAACGACCTAGTATAGTATGGCAAAAAAGTCAAACAAAACGACCTAGTATAGTATGGCAAAAAAGTCAAACAAAACGACCTAGTATAGTATGGCAAAAAAGTCAAACAAAACGACCTAGTATAGTATGGCAAAAAAGTCAAACAAAACGACCTAGTATAGTATGGCAAAAAAGTCAAACAAAACGACCTAGTATAGTATGGCAAAAAAGTCAAACAAAACGACCTAGTATAGTATGGCAAAAAAGTCAAACAAAACGACCTAGTATAGTATGGCAAAAAAGTCAAACAAAACGACCTAGTATAGTATGGCAAAAAAGTCAAACAAAACGACCTAGTATAGTATGGCAAAAAAGTCAAACAAAACGACCTAGTATAGTATGGCAAAAAAGTCAAACAAAACGACCTAGTATAGTATGGCAAAAAAGTCAAAAAAACGACATAGTATAGTATGGCAAAAAAGTAAATAAAAACGACATAGTAAAATATGGCTAAAAAGGCAAAGAACATAGTATAGTATGGCAAAAAAGTAAATAAAAACGACATAGTAAAATATGGCTAAAAAGGCAAAGAACATAGTATAGTATGGCAAAAAAGTAAATAAAAACGACATAGTAAAATATGGCTAAAAAGGCAAAGAACATAGTATAGTATGGCAAAAAAGTAAATAAAAACGACATAGTAAAATATGGCTAAAAAGGCAAAGAACATAGTATAGTATGGCAAAAAAGTCATAAAAACGACATAGTAAAGTATGGCTAAAAGGTGAAAATAATGACATAATACAATGAAGCATGAAACAACATAGTATAGAATGGCATAAAAAGTGAAAAAATGACTTAGTATGGTAAGACCCAAAAACTTCAAAAAACGACATAGTATAGTATGGCAAAAAAGTCAAAAAAACGACATAGTAAAGTATGGCTAAAAAGTGAAAATAACAACATAGTATAGTGAGGCAAAGAACAACATAGTATAGAATGGCGTAAAAAGTGAAAAAAAAGACTAAAGAAGAGTAGACCATAAAATGTCAAAAAACGACATAGTATAGTATGGCAAAAAATTCAAAAAACATGACATAATAAAGTATGGCTAAATAGTGAAAATAACAACAAAGCATAGAAAGGCAAAGAACAACATAGTATAGAATGGCATTAAAAGTGAAAAAAATGACTTAGTATGGTAAGACCGAAAAACATCAAAAAACGACATAGTATAGTATGGAAAAAAAGTTAAAAAAACGACATAGTAAGGTATGGCTAAAAAGTGAAAATAACAAAATAGTATAGTGAGGCAAATAACAACATAGTATAGAATGGCATAAAAAGTGAAAAAATGACTTAGTATGGTAAGACCGAAAAACGTCAAAAAACGACATAGTATAGTATGGCAAAAAAGTAAAAAAAAACGACATAGTAAAATATGGCTAAAAAGTGAAAATAACAACATAGTATAGTGAGGCATAGAACAACATAGTATAGAATGGCATAAAAAGTGAAAAAAATGACTTAGTATGATAANTAGTACAGTAAATCATAATATGCAAAAAAACGACATAGTATAGTATGGCGAAAAAAGTCAAAATATGTAATAGTACAGTAACTCATAAAATGCAAAAAAAACGACATAGTATAGTATGGCGAAAAATTCAAAATATGTAATAGTACAGTAAATCATAATATGCAAAAAAACGACATAGTATAGTATGGCAAAAAATTCAAAATATGTAATAGTACAGTAAATCATAATATGCAAAAAAAAAAACATAGTATAGTATGGCGAAAAAAGTCAAAATATGTAATAGTACAGTAACTCATAAAATGCAAAAAAACGACATAGTATAGTATGGCTAAAAAGTGAAAATAACAACATAGTATAGTGAGGCAAAGAACAACATAGTATAGAATGGCATAAAAAGTGAAAAAATGACTTAGTATGGTAAGACCGAAAAATGTCAAAAAACGACATAGTATAGTATGGCAAAAAAGTCAAAAAAACGACATAGTATAGTATGGCTAAAAAGTGAAAATAACAACATAGTATAGTGAGGCAAAGAACAACATAGTATAGAATGGCATAAAAAGTGAAAAAATGACTTAGTATGGTAAGACCGAAAAATGTCAAAAAACGACATAGTATAGTATGGCAAAAAAGTCAAAAAAACGACATAGTATAGTATGGCTAAAAAGTGAAAATAACAACATAGTATAGTGAGGCAAAGAACAACATAGTATAGAATGGCATAAAAAGTGAAAAAATGACTTAGTATGGTAAGACCGAAAAATGTCAAAAAACGACATAGTATAGTATGGCAAAAAAGTCAAAAAAACGACATAGTATAGTATGGCTAAAAAGTGAAAATAACAACATAGTATAGTGAGGCAAAGAACAACATAGTATAGAATGGCATAAAAAGTGAAAAAATGACTTAGTATGGTAAGACCGAAAAATGTCAAAAAACGACATAGTATAGTATGGCAAAAAAGTCAAAAAAACGACATAGTATAGTATGGCTAAAAAGTGAAAATAACAACATAGTATAGTGAGGCAAAGAACAACATAGTATAGAATGGCATAAAAAGTGAAAAAATGACTTAGTATGGTAAGACCGAAAAACGTCAAAAAACGACATAGTATAGTATGGCAAAAAAGTCAAAAAAACGACATAGTATAGTATGGCTAAAAAGTGAAAATAACAACATAGTATAGTGAGGCAAAGAACAACATAGTATAGAATGGCATAAAAAGTGAAAAAATGACTTAGTATGGTAAGACCGAAAAACGTCAAAAAACGACATAGTATAGTATGGCAAAAAAGTCAAAAAAACGACATAGTATAGTATGGCTAAAAAGTGAAAATAACAACATAGTATAGTGAGGCAAAGAACAACATAGTATAGAATGGCATAAAAAGTGAAAAAATGACTTAGTATGGTAAGACCGAAAAACGTCAAAAAACGACATAGTATAGTATGGCAAAAAAGTCAAAAAAACGACATAGTATAGTATGGCTAAAAAGTGAAAATAACAACATAGTATAGTGAGGCAAAGAACAACATAGTATAGAATGGCATAAAAAGTGAAAAAATGACTTAGTATGGTAAGACCGAAAAACGTCAAAAAACGACATAGTATAGTATGGCAAAAAAGTCAAAAAAACGACATAGTATAGTATGGCTAAAAAGTGAAAATAACAACATAGTATAGTGAGGCAAAGAACAACATAGTATAGAATGGCATAAAAAGTGAAAAAATGACTTAGTATGGTAAGACCGAAAAACGTCAAAAAACGACATAGTATAGTATGGCAAAAAAGTCAAAAAAACGACATAGTATAGTATGGCTAAAAAGTGAAAATAACAACATAGTATAGTGAGGCAAAGAA